GGGCAGGGTCGGAGCCCCGGCCAGGGGCTGGGGACGGGTCGTGAGGCGGGGGACAGGGCGTGAGGCAGAGGAGTTCCCCCCAGTCAGGGCTGAGGGAGGCGTGAGGCTGGGGATCAGGCCCTTGGCAGCTCTGTGGTGGAGGTGCTGTGGTGGCCAGTGTCCCTCGGGCAAGGGGCTCACCCTGGGGCCTTTGGGCTGGGGGGCAGGAGCCAAACACCTCTGCGTGCCCCTCTTGGGCACCCTCATGGTGTTGTTTTAGGTGCCAGCGAACCTGGCAATGCGGGTGTCTCCCACAGGGAGTCGAAAGTGCCCGTGTGGTCCGCTTTCTAGAAGGATGAAGGGAGATATCCCCCTCCAAAACATGGCTTGCTCTCTAAAACCCTGGCAGAAAATTCCTCCACAACGCAACAGCGGGAGGGAAGGTATGCAAAGTCTGTGAGGAAAATAAGGTGCCTTTTTTTAAGCTAAAACCTGCTATGTCCCTCAGGAGTGTGCTGTTTGAGAGGGCAGTGGCAGAGGTGCCCCGCAGGCAGTGACCGCCCCAGGAGATGCTGGCGCAGCGCAGTGCTGTCAGGGACCCCGGAGTGGCAGAGACACCCTGCCACGGAACCGCTGGGTTCAGAGAGAAACATGGTGCCAAGGTGTGTCCTGAGGATGCTACCATGGTGATGTAGCACACTAACATGTCGGATGGTGCCTCTTCCTCTTTTGTCAGCAGGACAAATAGTCACCTTTGCCTTTAGCTGCCACAGGAGATACTTGGGAGCACCGGACTGGGAGTGATCGCTGCATCAAGGTTCAGAGCTCAGCTATGGCAGGCAGCCACACCTCGTAGTCTCCTTCAGACAACTCGGAGGCTTTGTTTTGAACCCTGTTCATTTTCTGTCCCACCGCTTTTATCAAAAGACTGGTCTGAAACTTCACAGCTCTGATATTTGGAAACGGTCTCCTGATTTCCAGCCTAAATTTATTCACGGCCCAATTACATTCATTGCACTTTTGCCTAGTATGCCCACTGGCTCTTTTCCTTCTTACATCTGAGTTGATGTGGTCTGATTTTATTTACCAATTTGTCTGCTGACTGAAATTATGCACAGAAAAGAAGTTTCCCATGCCCTAAGAGAGGTTATTTTAACCTCTCTGAAGGAGCTAAATAATTATTCTTGATCTGAGTGGGATCAAGTGCAGGGCTTATTGGATAACAGCATCATTTATTCATAAGGGGATATTTATACCTTAGTGTAAATACTGTTTTGAAATTGTTTTTATGAAGACCCATTGAAAAGCATTTATAATGTTTTCCACATTCTGCTCTTGTTTTTGTAAGGCCCTAGGCAGCAAGAAGGGAGCAGGTGAGCTCAAAAATTGCTATGTGAACTGTGCTTTAAGAGAGGAGTGAATCACCATTAAAATTGTGGTGAAATCGTCTGTGTACCTAGCGATGCCAAGCATAGAAAATACAGGAATCAGAAGGGGATGAGGAAAGGGGAGATAGCTGTTTTAAAAGCTGACAGTTTTCAATTTTAGTTATTTTAGGTGTGAGCAAAACATAATCCAACAATCTATGTAGGCTTAGGAAAACATCACCTGCAAATCTGGTTTGAAAAAGCTAAGATTCCCTTGGTATCTTTGTAAGACTAAAATCCCCGGTCTCTTCAATTAAATTATCATTTTAAGTGTGTTTAAGCTGTTGGTGCTTCTTAAAAAAGCAGTCCTCTTCCCTTCCTCTCCTCCCTCCTGCTCCTGCCATCCCATCCACCCACTCATGCTGTTCTGGGCACACTGTGCAGTACAAATGCTTCTGCTGTCACTCAGTAAAGCAGGTCGGGGAACTGATCTGACTGAAGAATTGAACTGTTTTTCAAATCAATTTTTCTTCTGCCTGGAGCAGCTCTCTGGTGGAGTTCACCCCACACACGCTTGTGTAGGTGGGATGCAGGGAGCAGAGCAGAGGCCTCTCATTGACCGTGCAGGAGCCACCCATCTCCTTGGTGAGAGCCCATCACAGGTCACCCTGCCGATACTGTGCAGGACTCTGTTCATTACCAAGCAGGACTTGGTAATAACTATGCAAAGGCTTTTGGACAAAGAAAGAATGAAAAGTTGCAGCTGCTGTCTAAGGAGACAGCTAAAAGGGACATGATAATAATGTACTGAGCATTCGAGCTGCAGAAAAAAGTAGGCTGCAAACTTCTGTCTCCTTAAGAAAAGTATCAAGAGGCATTCAGTGGAACCAAAGAAAGGCATTGAAATGCATTAGAAAGCCCTTTTTTTTCATGCAAGCTCTCATAGCCCTGGTACTGACTGCCACAGAGCTGCTGTTGAGTGGTACCAGGACGTCAAAGGGACAGGCATTTTAATAGTAATAGTTATGACAACTAATCAAGAATTTTGGGAAGGCTGCAAGCCGCCTTAATAAAGAAACCAGTCTACGGTTACTAGGGGTTAGGAGTACATTTCCCTAATCACCTACCTTCAGGTTTCCTGCACGTTTGTTTGGCACAGAGCTTGTCCTGTCAGAAATGGGACGGGGTTTCGGAGGGTTCGGAGGGAGGTGGTGTTCCAACTGCTGTGTGAGAAGCTCCCTCTACTGAGAACACCAAAGTATATTCGGTCACCTTGAAGGAAAAGCCTGTTGGGGAAGGTAGGCTGGAGTAGGGCTTTCTGTGGGACGCTGGCAGGCTGACATGTGTTGTTCTGGATATGGGCTGAATGACTCTTGAGAGCTTTCGTACATCCAGTAATTGAAGAAAAATGTCAAATTTCAGCTTGAGGGCTTTAAGGGGAAAAATACAGGGGAATATTATCAGCTGTTTTATGGACTGATGATGTCAGAACAACTGCCAGAATTTTCCAGAGGGATGACACATACGTACCTATTACCTCTGGAAAAAAAAGTCACTCTGTGGCGCAGCAAGACTGGTCTGGGGAGTGCTCTGTGCTTTTCCGAGGCAAAGCAGGGCTGTACCGGACAGGAGAAGCACATACCCCACCTAACGCCCGACAGCCACGTGCTGGGATTGGGGTACGTTTCCAAGGAATGTGGGGAAAGGTGGCCAAACACTGCATAACCCTTTTGATAGTGTAAATCTAAATGGAAGATAGCTGGTGTGAGGGTCCTACCTGTCAGAAGAGCAGGGGCTTAGGAACTGGTGTGGCTCCGTGTGACCTTTCGCCGCCTGGATGCACATTTGCAAGGTCCAGGAGATTTCAAAAGACAGCAGAGACATTTATACTGATGCTTGATTCATGAAACCTGCATGCTGTACCTTAGAAAACCTTCTCTTTAGAGGGTGTATGGGAAGAATGTGGTTTACCTTATGTTGCTCAATTGCCTGGCTTCTAGATGGTGTTTTTTGAAAGGTATTTATCAATAGAATATCCATTATCTAGGACCTGCTTCTCAGGTTTCACAAATATTTCATGTGAGGGAGTAGAGATGCCTGACGACTTGAGGAGGAGGAGGGCAGAGGGTTTAGTACAATAGCTGTAGCTGTGGTGGCTGCTGGGAAATCGATCAAAAAAGGACAGTGGGATTATAGTTGCTTTAGAAACTGCCAGGTAGCTCTCAGGGAAAGTGAAACACCATCTGAAGAAGGCTTAGACCAGGATCTTTAGGATGATTAGGCTATTTTAGGTGTAGGCGGACCTAATCTAATGTGGAAGGATTTGTGATGGGGAAGGGTCTCCAGATGGCTGTAGCCCAGCCTGCTCAGCACACCTAGTCCTCAGGGTGACTTTGCTCTTTCTTCCTTGCCTTCCCCTTGTCCTCTCAAGGCTGCAGTCACCCTGTTTGCACTGGGAAGGGCTTCACCAGGAGAAGGAATAACTCTGGTGCTGCAAGGCAAGACAAGGAACCAAGGATGCCTGGTCTGTAGCCTATGTGCTTGCATACTGGCCGTGTTGCGTGGTCCCACTCCTCCAGCAATGAGTTATTGTAGATGGCTGGTGGGACCCCAGTCATCGTCTTGGGAAGAAGCAGATGTAGGGTGTGAAGTGAAATCTGGAATACAAACGATGGCAGAATGGGTCCCATCCTTCGGTGGCCATGCACTGCGTCAGGAGGCAAGGTCAGCTGCCGGTCAGCACGTTCACAGAGCCGCTGAAAAAAAAGCATGCCGCAGAACGTGCGAGAGCTTTCATGTATTCTCTCTGACGTGTATTAAATCCAGCTTTACAACTGCCTGTGAAAAGACGCACTGTCTGGGATTTATAAAAAGAATCACTTGTCAAAACAGAGAGCCGGGCTGGGAAAGGAATTCAGCCCTCCCTTCATTGTCACTGGGGCCAGTGTCCTCAGCAGCAAAAATGAAACGACTGTGGCAAGGTAGCAGGCATGATGAGGTGGTTACTGAAGGACCTGGGGTTCCAGCACTGAAACTACAAACTGAGGGAGGCTGCCCTCCTCATGGGTGAGCAGTGGAGGAGAGCGAGCTCATGGGCAGCCATCAGTTGGCTTCATGGTTTCATGAGGCTCTCGGAGAGTGAGGTGGGGCAGCAGTTGGAGAAGCGGTGGTGGT